TTTTTTTTTTTTTTTTTTTTTTTTTTTTTTTTTTTTTTTTTTTTTTTTTTTTTTTTTTTTTTCACTCTGTTGAGAAAATATATACTTGTAATCAGACTACTAGTTACTCATTGCTAAGTTTGCTTACATTTGCAGGTCTTGCATTCTGGTGAAGGTCCAATACATGCTGTGAAATGGAGAACAAGCCTTATTGCTTGGGCAAATGATGCTGGCGTTAAGGTTTATGATGCTGCAAATGATCAGCGAATTACATTTATTGAAAGACCGAGAGGAAGTCCACGTCCTGAACTTTTGCTCCCTCAGTTAGTCTGGCAGGTTTGTTAAAGTTTCATGATGCTGTTGCCATACTGTACTGTATCAAGAAAGTAACTAAAAGTGGATGCTACTGCAGGTGCTTGAGGGCTGCAGTAGCTACCGCCCCCATTTTTTTTAACAAATGAAATTGTATTTAGAAATTAAAAAAAATCATGAGGGAGCTTGAGGCATCCTCTAGAAAATAAAGAAAGGAATTTACAAGAATGCCGCCCATTTGTGTACATACATGCATATATACATATGCATAAATACACATACATATATACATATACACACACACATGTATATATGTATATATGGATAGATATATATGTATGAACTCACATAAAATTGCTATGATGCTATCTTTAAGGCTTGTAAAAAAGGAAAATTGATAACTATGACATAAAATATTTTAGACAAGGGTCGCCATCTCGAAGCTAAATAACTGCACTGTCTACAATCTCCTCCTCATTTCCTTCCTTATTTTCAAAAGATGGGGTTTCATATCAAGCCACGTCACAAACAGAAACAATAGCCGCATTTTTATGCAGAAGTTTACAGTTTTCTGATTTTCTTGCTAATACCGTAAGTTGTATTTGGGGTGCTTTTTTTATAATTAAATTCTTGTCTTTTGAATTTCTAGTTCGAGGAAAGATTTGTATATGTCTAAAGAACTTCTTGTTCTTGAACGCCAGTGGAACTTTTCAAATATCAATAAGAAGTTTGTTTCTTGTTTATCTATGCATATATATTATAATTACATAGTACCAGACTAAAGATCAGTATTGTTTAATTATTTGATCCATCAACAATTAATTACAAATAGCTACATTTTGTTCATTGGGACTGAAAAAATGACTATGTTCTCCTCCCAACTATTCATTTTCTAGTAATAAAATACTTGTAATTAATGTATTTTTTTTTTTCTTAGAATACAATAACCCTGTTGGTAGGAATCAAAGAAAAAATGATGTACATGGATAATTATTTCCTGTATTTTAATTGTGAAAAAAACCTAGGTATTTAATAAACAGACTATTGAACCTTTTTTCTTTACAATAGAATAGAAAAAATAACTTGGTGCTTTCCTCGGCATCGGATTAGCTTTACCATCTTTTATTTAGTATCATTTCTTACTGTATTTTCTCTATGTTCATTCAGGATGATACTCTGTTGGTCATTGGTTGGGGAACATCAGTGAAGATTGCATCAATTAGAACAAATCAAAATAGAGCAGCCAATGGGACACAGAGTAGTAGGCTCGTTCCAATGTCTAGCATGAACCGGGTTGATATAGTGGCATCTTTTCAAACCAGCTATTTAATCACAGGAATGGCACCATTTGGGGATTTCCTGGTTGTTCTCGCGTATATTCCTGGGGAAGAAGGTGAAAAAGATTTTAGTAGAACTGCTCCTTCCCGTCAGGTGCGTTCACGGCAAACTGAATGTACATCTATCCAGTCTTACCAGCACAAGGCTTTTAATGTGTTCTAATTTTATTTTTTGTACAAGTTTTTTGTAACGACCTAGGTCCACCGCTAGCAGATATTGTTCTCTTTGAACTTTCCCTTTCGGGCTTCCCCTCAAGGGTTTAAAACGCGCCTGCTAGGGAAAGGTTTCCACACCCTTATAAAGGGTATTTTGTTCTCCTTCCCAACCAATGTGGGACATCACAATCCACCCTCCTTCGGGGCCCAGCGTCCTCACTGGTACTCGTTCCTTTCTCCAATCGATGTAGGACCCCCCCAAATCCACATCCCTTTGGGGCCCAGTGTCCTTACGGGCACACCACCTCGTGTTTACCCCCCCTTCGGGGAATAGCGAGAAGGCTGGCACATCGTCTGGTGTCTGGCTCTGATACCATTTGTAACGACCCAGGTCCACCGCTAGCAGATATTGTCCTCTTTGGGCTTTCTCTTTCGGGCTTCCCCTCAAGGCTTTAAAACGCGTCTCCTAGGGGAAGGTTTCCACACCATTATAAAGGGGGTTTTGTTCTCCCTCCCAACCAATGTGGACATCACATTTTTAGTGACTTTTCTTGTTCTATTTAGTTCCAATTGTACTCATGTACTATGATTGAGAGCTTAGTAGACAAATTGTGCTGTGCATGTATCACAGATTCTGTAATCAGAGACGAACCTATTTGAATTAGTTCCTTGGTAGTTGTTTAGTGGCATGGTTTGTAAAATTTCATGAGAAACCAAAGACCTTTCACTTTATATCAATGAGTATATTATTTTGTTACATTTCCTGCTTTAAGTATTTTACGATTGAGTATGCTGTTTCTTCTGTCTAACTGTACTTGAGTGAATGGTATATGTAAGTGAGTGTAAACAATTTTTTAAACAGTCTGTCGTTTATTGTTTGTCTTCTATTTCATATTTCCTCTTATGTGTTTCTTATGTAAAAGCATGACCAGAGCTCTGTATTTTATGATTGCATCGCTTACTCATTTTTCTTCATGAAGGTGCTGGTTACTCCCTTTGCTGCGTTATTGTTCTCTTACTTTTTTTAAATCACTTTTAAGTAGGGAAACGCCCAAAGACCGGAAGTTCGTATTGTGACGTGGAACAATGATGAATTATCTACTGATGCCCTACCTGTACATGGTTTCGAGCATTACAAGGCAAAGGACTATTCCCTTGCACATGCTCCTTTCGCAGGTTAATTTATATCTATGGATGAATGTTATTTTTTTAGCACAAGGTAAATTGCCTTAAATGTTCAAATACTTATTTATGTCAGTGTAGGCAGCAGCTATGCTGGTGGTCAGTGGGCTGCTGGTGATGAACCTCTGTACTATGTTGTATCCCCAAAAGATGTAGTTATTGCGAAGCCCAGGTTGGTTTTTAATCTGTGTTGTTTCGTAAGTGGGAGGCTGTAATGATTGTCAACATGATTATTAGTTCTTGGGTATCCATACTAAAAAAATGACGGAGAGTTCTTCCTGAAACAAAAATGACAAAATGTTTATTTTAATATTCCAAAAGAAGTTTATTTTAATACACATTACACCTCCAATTGTCTTGAAAGTTTGAAAAAATTGTTTTTTAAGTCTTAAGTTAGGATGCCAAATAGTTCATTTAAATATACCAATTTTTTTTTACATATTTCAACGTATTTCAACGAACATGTTGTATGAGGTTTTATATTTTTAAAGGTGAGTTGAAATATGTTGTTATATGAGGTTTGATATTGTACGATGAAATATGTGAGTTGTATTTCATGTTTTCAGATATGTGTTTGGTAGCAAATACAGAATTTGGATCCCAGTGGAGGGAGGACGCGTAGTTGGAAGAGAGGAGAGAGAGGGAAACATGTGGGACTTAGAGCTTAGTGGAGCTGGGTTATTTAAATTGGTGGTGATGGGTTATTAAACCCCGAGTTATTATATCAGCAACCCAAACAAGGCGTTGGGTTTTAAACCCTTCCCAACCCAATTCAACCCCACTCCCCAAACAACCCCTTCGTGTATTCTTTTTACTGGAACTTATTTCTAGAAAGAAATGGCCGTGTCATCACAGATAAACAACAAAACATTCATTATTTTATGGAGCAACATTTTCTCTTGCTTTGTCTTGAAGTAAACTTCCTCGACCTTTTTGTAATTATAGCTTGACTTGACCCATTGGAGGTATTTTTTTTGTAACTAGTCAAAGATAGGTCTTCCTTTTGTAATATATTTCATACATCAATGAAATAATTTCTGTTTCTTATAAAAAAAAATTGTCCCAAACAAGGAACATTTTTGTTGATTTTTAACCGGAAATTATGGTAGTACACTATTTCTAAAATGTTGGTAATTCGGTCCTTCTCAACTGCAACATTTCTAATAGATTCACCATGTCATTTTAAATAATAGGAGAAAAAACCTACACCATTTATCTTTTACACTGCATCTGCTTGATTTCACGATTGCATGTTTTAATCATTCTTAGGGATGCTGAAGATCATATTGCTTGGCTTCTTGAACATGGCTTCCATGAAAAAGCTTTGGAAGCAGTTGAAGCAGGTCAAGGAAGAAGTGAACTCCTTGACGAGGTACCTTCCTTCAGCCCATTCATTTCTCCTCTTCCTTGCATGCATTCATATCATTATTTTGTTTTCTTAAAGAACTCCTGGCTCTCTCTGTCATATAAAGACTTCATCTGCATTTGAAATATTGCATACTCGACGCAGTTCCAGTGGGATGCTTGCATCCAGTCATTGTAACATATGGATTAAGCCCCAATATTGCCTCTATCCCTATCTTTAGATTGGTGGAGGTCTTTTATATGACTCCTCTTGCTAGGCTTAGGGATCCTTCCTCATCCCTAAGGCCCTTCTTAGGTTGCTATTCTTCTTTGAAAACTTTTATCTAGGTCCATTTCTCATAAATAAATAAATAAAACCCATCCTTTGTAATTTCCCTGGTATTTCAATCTTCCTAGAAGCCCTCAACATCCAACAGTATAATATTTGTTGCTAATATCAAGGTAGTCTTATCCAACGGTATAATACACACACACACACACACACACACACACACACACATATATATATTTCGTATTTGGAAGCCTTATTTTCCATATCTTGAAAGTTTTTCGTGGGTGTTGCCATAGGAACAAGGGATTTGTGAGCTTGGGATCCTAATCTGTCTGGGGGCTTCTCTACTCACTCATTTTCTCCACCCTTTGTTCATCTTCTCCCATTTTGGGACCTAAGTGCTCTCCTCTCTGTGGAAGGTTAAGTCCCTAAGAAAGAGAATAAGAGGTCTTACATGGTAGAGTGAACACCCCGGATTGTATCCACCAACACTCTTCCTTGGTTTCCATAATGTTGTCTGCTTTGTAGACGTTAAACAGATTTAAGAGGATCTTGGTAGTTTGCTTACTCCCTCTAGACTCAGAGCTTTAGTTTGTTTGGAGTAGTTGTGTTGCCAAGTAGGGACTGTTGGTTTTTGTTGAAGAGATTGTAATAAACTCGCCCTATTGTGATGAACGAAAGGTATTGTAGCTATTTGTTATTTTGCTATCTTGCGGGAGTGTGGATCGGGAGAAACAGTAAAATTTATAGATGGGTGGAGAGGTCATAAAAAGAGGTTTGGGATGGAGTGAGATTTAATGCTTCTTTATGAGTGTCTATTTGGCGATTTTTTTGTAATTATCAGCTAATTATAATCATTTGGATTGTATCCCGTAGTTTAAGTGTAATTCTATTTTATCAATGATTTTTTTTTTCTGCCTTTCTAAAGAAAAAGGAAAAAAAGAAAAAAAGAAAAAAAGAAAGAAAATAAAAGAGAGAGTAATACTTTTTTGTTCATCTCGCGTTTAGGTGGGGTCTAGATATCTTGATCACTTGATTGTGGAGAGAAAATATGCTGAAGCTGCATCTTTGTGTCCCAAATTGTTGCGAGGCTCTGTTTCTGCGTGGGAGAGGTAATTAATTGATTGCCTTTTATACCATTCTTCATTAACTGGCTTAACTACAGAAACCGGTTTTGTACAGATGGGTTTTCCACTTTGCTCATTTGCGTCAACTTCCTGTACTGGTTCCATATATACCAACAGAAGACCCCAGATTGCGTGATACTGCCTATGAGGTTAGTCTGAAAAAAATTTCTCTAATATTTTTCTCTTTAAGAGATTTATTTATTACCCACTTGAACACGACACTTTTTTTTTTCCTTGTAATTTCAGGTGGCTCTCGTTGCTCTTGCTTCGAATCCATTGTTTCATAAGGATCTATTAACGACTGTTAAGTCTTGGCCACCAGTGATTTATTCGGCCTTGCCTGTTATCTCCGCCATAGAACCTCAGTTCAATACTTCTTCTATGACTGATGCTCTTAAAGAAGTAAATATTTATTTTTCTGTTATTTTTATACACAAAGTGTATTGCAGTAAGCTAATTTCTTTCCTGCATCAGGCATTAGCTGAGCTGTACGTCATAGATGGGCAGTATGAGAAAGGTTTTTTGCTTTATGCTGATGTATGTACAGATTTGTGCTCTCTCGCCGTTAAATAACTGGATCTCGATCTTACTACTTTCCCCTTATCAATATATTTTTAATTATTCTGCCCTTATTTTCAGCTTCTGAAGCCAGATATATTTGACTTTATTGAGAAGTACAATCTACATGAGGCCATTCGTGAAAAGGTATGAGAATTCAAGATTAGGAAACCCTGTAGTTTACTTGTAGCTTTCTTCAAATAGGAAAATTAAGTTTGTGGTAATGTTATAAAATACCAGTTTTCCGGTAACACATCTTGGAAGATAGGATTTTCTAACCATCATAAATTGGCGAGTGGTCATTGGGGCAGTGAAAATAGTAAAGAGCTTTAAGGGAATAGATTCAAATCATGGTGACCATCTTACCTACAATATAATCTCCTACCAGTTTCCTACAATATAATCTCCTACCAGTTTTCTTGACAATCAAATATACTATGCTTAGGCACTTGTTTGTAAGATCAATTGAGATATGTACAAGTTGCCTCGGTTACATACAAATATAAAAGAAAAAAAAGAAGAATCTTCTAATTAAAAGAGGTTGTATGGAATTGTTCTATGAACAATTCTTGATAATTGTCACATTCCTTTATCACTTTTATTCTCTTAATTAGACAAATCAATTTTTACATTAGCTCAAAGTGATGGAACTCTTAAGGGCTGATATTATATGGTTTTTGAATTTCTTTTGTTTAAACATTATTTGTAGGAAGGATTCAAAATTATTTTTCTTGTCACTTGAAAACTCTGTTAAGAGTTCTTTTATTTTAATTTTTTCTTAAATTTATTTTTCTGTTTTAAATTTATATTCATTTGTTTGTATAATCCTTTGGATGGACGGTGGTTCTACCAAACAACATGAAAGATTGGCTTTCTTTGATCTTTATGTATCACCCTTTTAATCATTCAAAGAAGATCCTTCGGCTTCACTGCAATATGGCCTTTATTTGGTCCTCTGTAATGAGCGAAACCATGAAATTTTTCAAGTCAAGTAGAGATGACTGAAACTCTTTATGCACCTGTCTTTTTTTGTTTATAACTTGGTGTAGCACGCCTCCTCTTTCAATAATTATAACACGAGCTCACTTTTATCCCATTGGAGGGTTTTTTTTTTTTACTTTGGATGTGGATTTCATTTCCTTTTATTGTAATTTGTACCAACAATGAAATTGTTTCTTGTCCAAAATTTTGGAAACAATTTTACTCGAGAGTTTGGCTTTGGAGTCTGGTAATATGGTCTGTGCTGTAGTTTTTTTTTCCTTAGTAAATTGTTGGTGCTCAAAAATTTTGTTTTTAGAGAGAACAATTTTACAATTCCTGTCGCATTGGCTAACTGTTCTATTTATTTTCATTTTTAAATGTATGACGGCCTTTCTATTTTCACCCACTTTTTGTAGGTTGTTCAACTCATGATGCTAGATTGCAAGCGTGCAGTTCCATTGTTTATCCAGAACAAGGAATTAATTCCTCCAAACGAAGTTGTTTCACAACTTTTCAAAGCCGGTGATAAGTGTGATTTCAGATATTTCATGCACCTTTATCTGCACTCCTTATTTGAAGTAAATCCACATGCTGGAAAGGATTTCCATGATATTCAGGTACAAACTACTAAAATTAAGTTATCTTTCAGTGACTTGGTTCTCATGTTTTCACACATGCTGATGATGAATCTCTCCACCTTAATGTGAGATGTGACAAATTTGCGAATGATATTAATAAAATTACATCTAGCATTAATTTGAGAAGGCACATACCATACATTCATATAATGTCATGCATTAAACATGCATATTTAAGAAGTAAAAGTTCATATCAACAGCTCCTAGTCAGTTGCCATTAAGACATCAATAAAAAGAGAAAAATGGAAAATCCACAATCAGTTTCAGGAAAAGAGAAATTAAATAAACGAGGCAATATAGAAAAAATAAGCATTTATCATCATCATATTTATTCTTTTGACAAGGAATACTTTCCGTTGATTCAAGAAATGATTGCACTGCTGACTAAGGGAGACATACAAAGAAAACATCCCCACCACTCTTAACGACAATCAATGCAATCTTAACAAAAGAGCCCCTAATTCATTTTTTTAACCAAAGACAAAAATAGAACTTTTCACTGATATAATTAAAAGAGACTAATGCTCAAAAATACAAACTCCAAAAGGAGCGTATGAAAGAGAAGAAATAACAAATACATCAAAGACCATTTTGAGTAACAAATACAACAAAAACCACACTGGATGAACCAAACCAAAACCAAAAAGCATAAGAAGGAACTATGAAGGATATAAAAAAGCATTCCAGTTGAGATAAATGTCTTGAATAGAAAATCCAGCAAAAGGATTTGATACAGAACTCCAAGAAGAGGCCTTGGGCAGCTTCAAATCTTTCAAATCATGGAAGTTGCTTGTTGTGAAAGACCCTTTGTTTTCTTTCCAACCAAAGCTCGAAAAGAATAGCCTTAACTGCATTAATCCAAAGAAATCAGCTTTAATCCAAAGAAATTAGCTTTCGAAATTAAAGAAAGGCCTGTAATTTGTTGCAAAACATTGTTCCTCAAAGTGAAATGTGAACAACGAAAAAATTTCAGCAGAATTTGGAATAGCAACAACCGAAGAGCACATGTTTGAGGGAATCGCCAGCCACAAAACATAAAGAGCGAACTGATGGCATAATACACTTGAATGCATTTTCCTTTGCAAAACTTCTGAAGTATTAAGATGACCATTAAGCATGATCCACAAAAGATTGATTATTCTTTTGGGACATTTGGACTTCCAGAAAAGATTTGACTTTCCTTATGTAGAGCAACCTAACAGTGGTTATTTAATTCTTGTATGGAGTCTTCCATTTTTCTTCAAGATTGAATTGTTACCTATGAATTATTTTGGGTCTTCTGTTATGACATCCGATGCATCTTTCAGTTTGGCAGCTAAATGGGGATGATGCATTATGCACGGGCCTTCTTCTTTGTGGAGGAAGGTCATGTTAGTATTCATGGTTCTGATTACGAGCAATGATCTATGCATAGTTCTGATTATAAACATTCCATCAGAACAAATCTTCATACACACATACACACACACAAATATATATATATATATATATATATATATATATATATATATATAAATAATAATAATAAAAGAAAAAGAAAAAGAAAAGAGAAGGACTAGAAATGCCCTCTCCTCTCTCGTCTCGTCCATCCTGCATTCTTTTCCCCGTTTTTTCGTCTTCCATCGTCCTCATTAGTCATTTCTAGTTGCCGATTTCTTGACTGAGGTTAGTTTATTTAATTCTTCTTCCTTTCTTTCTTCCTTTTGGTGGTGTTGAGCTGTGAGGGTGTGTTCTTTTTTTTTTTTTTTTCATTATGGAGATTAAGAGCTGCAGTATTTGAAATATATTTTTATTGTTTTTGGTATGAAAATGATATGTTTAACTTTGAAGATTTTAAATCTTAGCAGAAGATTCAACTTTCCATTTCCCATTTGTGTTGGTTTGAAGACATTTTTAGTAGATTTATTGCAATCTCCAGTGCATTCGTTCTTTCAGAAGAAAAACAGAAATGTTGATGGAACCATTATGTATGCAAGTTTAGACCATACCAAGGTTGGTTTTCTGAGGGTGAAATTTGACCTTTATCTGGTGGAAGAAGACCAACAATACATGTTCCTGCTTGTTTTAGAATGGATAGTCAGTTTTCTGGGAAATTATCAGAGTCTCTCTCCAAATATGAGGAAAATGTGTGTTCCAAGCAGTTTGTGGCTGGAGAGTCATCCAAGGTGGATGCAAATACAAGAGGTGTTGGGGAAGACATCAAAGCCAGATGAAAGTAAAAGCAAGCAATCTGTTAGAAATTATGCAAAAGTGATGTCTTCAAAACGAGGTGCTTCTCGTGATTTAAATGCTCAAAAGATAAAGATGAACAAATCTTCCTTTTGGGTAAGGAAAAAAAACAAAAAAAAAACAGAAGTGATGGGAATGAGTTTCAATGATTTTTGTGGGGTTCTGGGATCTTTGTTCCACTGCCCATGGACGGAAGTAAGACCAGCATTGGAAGAATATTTTCAATCTAAGATTGTTCTTAATCCTTTTATGGATCACAAAGCATTTGGTGAAATTAGACGACAGTTTCTCTAAAATGAAATTTGATGGAAAATGGAGATTCATTGGAAACCTTCATTTGAAAATTGAAAATTGGGTATGTAAATGCCATTTTCATCCTAGGTTTATCAAAGGGTATGGAGGTTGGATTGTTATAAAAAATTTATCTTTGCCATTTTGGAACGATGTATGTTTGAAGCAATTGCAAAACACTTTTGGGGATTAGTCAGTATCTCTTTCCAAACTGTGGCTTTCTTCAGGTGGAGATTGTGGTCACAGATAAGAAGCTTGGTGATTTTTCTCTTCGTTTTAGGGATATTGCTTCATTAGTTCTTCCAAGCTTGGTCCATAGTGATTTTAAGTTAAAGGATTTTGCTAACGAAATTGATTTAAAAGGAGTTCATAAGGTTATGGAAGATGAAGGGTTTTCTACTGAAGGTGAAGTTGAAACAAATCAAGTCTGGATGGAGACATGTTTGATCTATAACCTGTAGCTCTAATACCAAATGATTTGTAAATCCCACCCAATTGGATCTAAGAACCCTTATGAATATGCAATTCCCTAGATCATAAATTCTAGAACCCCAAATCAAGATGATTTAATCCCAAGGAAGAAGATATACCAAATTTACATGGTAGCAATATCTAGGGTAAAGAAAACTTGTTTCTAAACTCAAGATTTGAAATACTCCACAAGATTACTTTATCAAGACTATTTGAATGACTTTTATATGCAAATCTAGTCACAAGAAATGCAAAGGAATAAGCTCATGACCTAAAAAGCATAATTTGCATTTTTCATTTTAATCTCTAAAATCTCCAAAATCTTAATGGTAAAACAGCAACATGAAGGACTATTTAGCCTTGAAAATGAACCCTAACCTATAGTCAATTGGAAGATTGTAACTCTCATGCCTATCATAATGGTCACTAATTAAATTATAACTTCAAATATAAAAAATAATACTTCAAAACTGAAAAATACAATGAGAATTAATATTTCAATCAAGTAACCTTTGTAACCTATCCAATCGAAGAGTAATTGAAGTTCCACTTGAGGCAGTTTGAAGTAGCTTGAGTTCTAGTTACAGAAATGAAGCTTGATTTATTTTTAATGAAACATGAGTTGTAATTGAGTTCAGTTTACGCAACTCTATTTTGTTGTCAACTTGGGATATGTAGAGTACAATCTCGTCATCCACCTTTTAAGTCACCTTTTAAGTCCTTGTGGCATGATTAAGAAGTCTTATTTTGTATCAATGGGTCTGATATTAATATTTGACTTTCCGGTTGATTAAATAGTCTGAGTTTGTGCAGCCCTTGGTCGAGTGTTTCTAAAACATGGTTCCATTTGAAAACATTGCTCTTTTTAAATTGGAAAATAGGAAAAGGATTCTATTTTGGGGAGGTTCACTGGTTATTTAACTCTTTTTAGAGTATTGCTTTCCTCGGTTATTTTTCTATTAATTCTACTTGAAATGGTTGGGTTGCTTTACATTGGGATGTTCAAATTAGTTCATGGCACATTACATTTCGAAGAGCTTTGAAGGATGAGGAATCTGGATATTTACGGACTTTCTTGAGTAAACTTTCTACTGTTACTATTGGTTGAAAACTCAAGATCCTTTAGGTACATTCTCGGTTTCATCTTTGTTTGATATTCTCAAGTCCGTTGGAGAATGAGCTTTATAAGTCCTTGTGGAAGTTCAAATTTCCCAAAAGAATCAACATCCTTTTGTGTATTATGCTCTCGATGGTAGCAGTACTTACCCAAGTGTTGCAAAGAAAAATACCTTTCAAGTGCATTCTGCCTTCAGTTTGTTCTTTATGTTTCTTGGCTGTTTTTGCTTTGTTCAAAGTCCAGTGGGTATTCCATTTTACGCTGAGGAACAATGTCCTGCATTTACTTACTGTTCCCTCACTGAATTCCAAAGCTCATTTTATTTGTGCATAAATGCGGTGAAGGCAATTATTTCTGAGTTATGGATGAAAAGAAATCAAATAGATTTTCACCACAAGCAACTTTCTTGGTCCGAAAGATTTGAAGCATCTTGCATTAAGACCTCTTCCTTGTGATATCCCACATTGGTTGAGGAGGAGAACGGAACACTCTTTATAAGGGTGTGGAAACCTTTTCTTAGCAGACGCATTTAAAGCCTTGAGGGAAAGCTCGAAAGGGAAAACTCAAAGAGGACAATATCTGTTAGCGGTGGGTCTGGATCATTACAAATGGTATCAGAGCCAGACACTGGGCGATGTGCCAGCGAGGAGGCTGTTCCCCGAAGGGGGGTAGACACGAGGCGGTGTGCCAGTAAGGACGCTGCGCCTCGAAGGGGGGTAGATTTGGTAGGGGTCCCACACCGAGAAAGGAACAAGTGCCAATGAGGACGTGGATTGTGATATCCTACAGTGGTTGGGGAAAAGAACGAAACACCCTTTATAGGGGTGTGAAAACCTTTCCCTAGCATACGCATTTTAAAGCCTTGAGGGGAAGTCCGAAAGGAAAAGTCCAAAGAGGACAATATCTGCTAGCAGTGGGTCTGGGCCATTACATTCTTAAAGTTCCATTTTGGATCATCTTGCTGGTTTTTCTACCCAAGATATTTATCTTAACTGGAGTGCATTTTTATATCGTTCATAATTTTTTATTTAGTCTTTGAATTGTAGTTTGGATTTTAGCTTGTTTTCATTTATAGTAACTTCTTGTAGCTCGGTTTTTAGCATGGTTTGCTCATGTTCTGTTATTATTTTGTTCACTCCTTTGTTGGAGTTTTTATTTTGAGCATTAACCATTTTTTTCATTATTTCAATGAAAAGTTTGATATCTTGTTAAAGAAAAAAAGTATTCATGATTCTGATTTAAATGATTAGTAATTGGGTAGAAAAAATGGGTTGAGTTTATGTAGTCCGAGGTTGAATATTTCAAAGCCCTCAATTAGTAATGATTATATTAATTATATTAATAGTGTGATAATCCTAAATTTCCTTATTTAACCTAAGGCTACTACTATACATTTAACTGGACATTTAATGCGGAATTTACTTTAATGAATCCGTCATTTATTTTTTTAAATCCAATGGGATAAGAAGAAAAGAATACAAAGAAAAGAAGAAAAACATTACAAAGAAAAGAAGGAAAAACATTACTAAATTAAATTCGATGGCTTATTAAATATAAATATGACTCAACCTATACTGACCTATATTTTATTAAATGTAAATACAATTCAACATATATTTGCAAATACAACTCAACCTATACTATTAAATTTGAAATGTGAATCTATCATATGCATGTAACGGCTTGGTGTTGCGATGCCTTCGTCAGCCTTATAGGGGTGCCTTGCCTTTATCTGAAAAATGTAGTAGCACGAGGTTTGAGTATTTAAGAATACTCAGTAAGTGACCCCCTATTGGGGTTATGATGCAAGAACATGTGAATGCAATGACGGGACTTGTCATAACAGTCTATTTTCCTACCATACTATCCTAATAGGCAGCTTGGATGTGTAATTCATTTCCTATACACGGTCCACAAGTTTGAGTATGGGCCCACCAGTCGGTTCGCACACCGTTGAGCCCCTTTCCTTGTCGGGCGAGCATTCTCTGATGGGTCCACACTCACATGTGTGGACCATGTGTAGAGTATAAATTACACATCCAAGTTGCCCGTTAGGATAGTATCATAGGAAATAAACTGTTATGATAGATCCCGCCATTGCATTTGCATGTTCTTGCATCATAACCCCGATAGGGAGTCGCTTACTGAGTATTCTTAAATACTCAAGCCTCATGCTACTATATTTTTCAGATAAAGGCAAGGTGCCCCTGTAAGGCTGACGAAGGCACTACAACTCCAGACCGTGATACATGCATGAGATAGATTAGCATTTCAAATTTAATAGTATAGGTTGAGTTGTATTTGCATTTAATAATAGTATAGGTTAGTATAAGTTGAGTTGTATATGCATTTAATAAAATATAGGTTAGTATAGGTTGAGTCGTATTTATATTTAATAAGCAATAAGTTAGTATAGGGCATTTAATTTATTAATGTTTTTCCTTTTCTGTATTTGTTTATTCCTAAGGTAATAAATGAGGAAGTAAATTCCGCCAGGAGCTTAGGTTAAATAGGGAGACCCTTAGGGTCTACGACAAAAATTGGTTGGTCAAAATCCACCGTGAGGAAGCATTACTTTTAGCAAAATCCATCAATTGGTCTCGGACTTTTTCTTTAAAAGTTTTGGGCTCTTGCGAACCATATTCTTTGGAGAACAGCTTTGACTGCATTTCAACGACACACACCACAAGTTGAACTATACTCTCCTATTAACTATTTAAAGTCTAGAAAAGCAGCTCCCAAAATGAGATTGATCTTCATCTGACAACAAATCAGGTCTATCGAATTATTAAACACCATTGTAGGGTATTTTAATCGGATTCTGGTCACGGTGTGTGTTTTGTATAAGAAACAGAGGTTAATTAGCAAAAGACAAACTATACAAAAACTGGAGTGAGTTCAATTCTCAACAATGTTTTTAGTTTACCTAAATGGGCCAACCAAATGAAACTTTTCTGTCTTCCAGCTAGCCTTTAACCAAGATTTGTTGATACTAACACGATGAAAATGTTGATTCTAATAGGATGACAGTTTTCTCTCACCAAGAATTTGAGGGAAAACTTGCCTAAAGAAGTCAACTAGACCTTCCATCATTATGTGATCATATAGCTGCATTAATTTAAATAGTATAGAAGAAACAAACTTCTACTCTGCTTTGTAGGAAAAAGTTCAATATCATCAAAAAAATTAGATGACAGTGGAATTAATACTTTGGGTTTTGTTTATACTTGAAGAAATGATAGTGGAGAGATGCTTGACTCATTTTGTTTATAAACAAAATATGTGTTTTCTTTGTAGTTAGAGCTTTCTTGTTCCTATTTAATAAATTGCTTCTTCTTTACCTCCAAAACTTTTGTAGGTGGAGCTTTATGCTGACTATGACATAAAGATGCTGCTTCCTTTCCTTCGTAGTAGTCAACATTATACGCTTGAGAAGGTTAGAATTTTCTGTTTCTGCTTATAGTGGTTATTCTCCGTCTGTTATGACTTTGTGAACATTATAATCTCAGGCACATGAAATTTGCATTAAAAAAAATCTTTTGAGGGAGCAAGTCTTTATTCTTGGTAGAATGGGAAACGCAAAACAAGCCCTTTCTGTCATCATTGATAAATTAGGAGATATCGAAGAGGTACTTGCATTATTTTCATACTGAAGTCCGTCCCTTCTTTCAGATGGAAACTTCACATTTCCATTTCAAATCTCTTCACTTTTGAGATCAGGTTATGAACTGATCATATAAGACTTTGTTTTAATCATGGACAGGCAGTGGAGTTCGTTAGCATGCAGCATGATGATGAACTTTGGGAAGAATTAATAAAGCTATGTCTTCACAAGGCTGAAATGGTATAATGGACGCTCTTCGCTTGCATAAATTGCCATACACTGATTTATTTTAAATGATTTGTCCTCCATTATTGACAGGTTGGTATGTTACTGGAGCACACAGTTGGTAATTTGGATCCTCTTTATATTGTCAACATGGTTCCCAATGGTTTAGAGATACCTCGGTTAGTTTCAATTTCTGCTGTTATCATTGCTTTTTACACATTTATACGGCTATTATTTATCTAGTTATATTTTTGTAATGTGCTTATGCTCTCATTCTATATGATCTCTTAAGTTGGCCAAGTTGTTTATTGAGGCATTATGTAATGCCCGACCTGAGTATAGGAGGGGTACATGTAAGAACTAATACCACATTCAAATGAAAGGGATCCAAAGGTTATGTAAGGTTTGGTTAAGAAAGTCTTTAAAGAATTGATAGTTACTACCTACATTTTCATTTTCAATGGCTCAATTGTAGAAACTTCAAACTTAACTATGCTCGCCCTTGAGTAAATCTATGTTGGATAATCTCTTAAGAATTTTCATAAAAAGTATATAAGTATAAGTGAGGACAAAATATGTTGAAAGGACTTGGGTTGGTTTGTGTGTACAATTGTCACTTTTAGAAGCAGTTCGGACAAGTAGGTAGTGTGACCAGGTCGTAAGAATTGCCGTAGAATGCCAATTGTCCTAGAATGCTAGGGTAAGAATTGCCATAGAATGCCAGGGGTGTCAGATGGTTAATTTGAATTTTGAATCCTAGCCAGATCTTGGGCTCGAGGCATTGGTTATTATCTTTCTTGGGCAATATACTTCCATCTAAAATCTCCCTTTATTAGGGAAAAAAAATTGTGATGCTTATATTATTTTAAAAAATTTATTACCATATATATTTTTTTCATTTGGATCTAAATTATTTTCATAATTTCTATTCAGGCTTAGGGATCGGCTAGTTAAAATCATTACCGATTACAGGACAGAAACGAGTCTTAGACATGGATGTAATGATATTTTGAAGGTATTGTCATGCTAAACAAATTTGTTGCATCACTAGAACTGAACCTTGTGCTTGCAGATGGTAAGTAATGGGTGATTTTCTACAGGCTGACACTGTGAATCTATTGGTTAAGTACTACAATGAGGCCAGACATGGAATTTACTTGAGCAACGAAGAAGATGAAATACGTGGGAAAAGAAGCGAAAATAAGGTTTTTCAATCTATTCAGGAATCTGTGAGTGCTAGAATGATGGAGGTCAAGTCGAAAACTCGGGGAGGCGCTCGATGCTGCATATGTTTTGATCCCTTTTCTATACAAAATATGTCAGTCATTGTGTTCTTTTGCTGTCATGCATACCATGAGACTTGTCTTATAGAATCTACTTCCAATCTTGATGCTAAGAAAGGGAGTGGAGAGACTCGGCATGATTCGACATCGGACTTCGATTATGATAATGGAGAATTTGATGACGACGACTATGAGGATGATACAGATGCGGGCGGTCCTAGAATGCGTTGTATCTTATGTACTACTGCTGCTTCCAAGAGTTGAAAGCACTTTGTATGCATATTTGGGATCATCATGCAGGTATGTACAGGCTATCTATCAACGATCCCTTGCTTGTATTGTCATTTATATTTCTTTATCGATGTTCCTATAATAATTAAAGGTAAGAAGATTTTGTTTTGATGGTTGTAGTGAATTTTTTTTTTTTTTTTTTTTTTTTTTTTTTTAATACAAAGCTGTGTTATGCTCGGGTTCGGAGTTGAGATGTGTGAATATAAGTTGAGTTGTGTTCAATAATACGTAAATCTTATTCGTGACCAAATATGACATTGAATTTTTTATCGGGTTAATAAATAAGCTTTTTCTTTTTATCTTTTTAGTTCTTACGAATAGAAAGTTTGGTCCTTACTAAATTTAGTTAATAATGTTTGGTAACATTCAATTTCGGTAAAATTCAATATTTAAAATAATCTAAACCATTTTTCATGCATACATTAGTTTCATTCCTATTTATTCTATAAAAATAATTTCAAAATTAGTTATTTAAAGTTGATGTTTAATGAAATTGATTAACTAATAATATTAATTTATTGAGTATTTTAGACGATTAATATTTGTGTTTTCTTTTCAAAATGTTAATAAATAAAAAGTGCTTTCGATTAATTTAAAAATTATTTTCAAAGAAACATTTGAGTTATGGATTATCTTAACAGTAAGGTGATTAATGGAAGTTCTTTAAAATATGTAATAAAATATAAAATCATACCAAATTATTAATATTATTATTTTTCTAGTATAATCAAACAAATTTTTTATTTAAAATACTTTTGAAAAATGTTATTATGTGACATTTTGTTACTATTTGTTTTTTTTTTTTTTTTTTTTTTTTTTTTTTTTTTTTTTTTTTTTTNTTTTTTTTTTTTTTTTTTTTTTTTTTTTTTTAACGAAGTGTTTAAACTAGAAGATAGTCTAAACGGGGCTAGAAAATAAGGTATATGCTTACTCCTAATATATGGTAGTTTAGGATTTACTTGCCTTCTTTGACATGCACTAGCAAGTGCATCTTTGATGCAGTCATCGATTCTTCCGAGAGGTCACAATTACCGCGAGCAAACATATTAATGATGAGGAACACATTTTTGCTATTCTACTAATACTTGTACTTACTCTGCTATTCTGCCGAAGCTTGGCTGAGGAAGAATTACGGGGCGTAAAACAAAAAAATATACTGATTCGGGTTGGGTTATACTATATTTAATTTATAACGGAACCCCCGCCCTTAACCCATTAACGAAAAAGAAAAAAATAAAAAGATTAGGCTATTCCATTTCGACAAAAGACCCACACCCAAGTTCCATAGCTTTGGGTTCGCTATCCCGATCATGATTTTCCTACCCCCAGAGGGATGGGACAAAAGGGGAGATATTACTTTGATTTCGTTACTAAGTTTGACTTCCAACAGATTTAAACAAATTGATTAAACAATGACCAATTGTCTTGCCAATTTTGTACTTTGATTGAATTTGGCTCAAACCGAATCGATAGTGAGAGAGAGTAAGTAGCTCAAGAAGAAGAGGATAGATTAAGGTAATGGATCTTTATGTAATACAAGGATAGATTAAGGTAATGGATCGTTATGTAATACAAATTTAGTATTTCAAAAACAGGATTTTCTTTTGTAAGTTTAACTTAGAACCTGTTTGGAATGACTTTTTAAATGCTTCAAAAAACTTAATTTGAAAGTGGTCGTAAGGTTTGAAAGTGGTTATTTTTATTTTTTTTAATCCTTTCTTTAGGAGATTAATTTGAGTTAATTTGGAGTTGATTGAGATATTGTTTGAAATTTAGTTGGAGTAAATTAGATATAAGAATATTTAATTAAGATAATTAAAAATTTAAATTTGAGATTTTAGTTTAATATGAAATGATAATTTTGAGAATATAATATTTCATTAATTTTAGTTCAAAGTTGAAAATTTTTCTTTTAATATTTTTAAGTTAATTAGATTTTATTGTCTTCTCTTGATTGTTTCATGTAGCTGGTAGCCCCTAAGGCTTCTTCTTCATTGATAGTAACCAACAACCATTACCGACTACTCTCAATTGTAGAATTGTTGGTGGTTAAGAGGCTAAAAAACATGACCAAACGGAGAGAGAGATCCACAACCATCTACTGTTTGCATATCACAATCTGATTTTCGAGCTATTTGAAGTATGGATCATGAAAAGACACATACATGAAGGTTCGCTTCTGAGAGTATATATCTGTGGTCTCTCGTCCCTCTCAAGACGAGTTCATGGAATGAGGATCCCATCTAGGTGTTTACTTCTATCCTAAAGCACTCCCCTAGATAAACTACTAGGTCATATAGTCGGTAATAATATCGTGAGTCTAATAACATGCATGCTCAAAATTCAAATCAAGATTTGGAATATAGATTCGCCTCAGACAATTCCAATATTCTTATTCCGCTATTCACAAACTGAAACGAAGAAAATATGATATCATGGTGGAGGACTAGGATGACTTGGAGCACATACAAGGCAAGGTTGGGTCTATTATGTGGAGTGGTACTCCTTGTTTTGGAAATCAATCTACTTACCTTGGTTATACCCTTAGAACTAAAACATAGGTCTTAAGTTCATAGTTCATGCTCTAGAGGGTTCATCATTAAAGCTAATTGTACAGCCTAGACATTCTACATAATTCATATTTACCTATTTAAAAGCATGATATCTAATCTTTTTGTCTATTCAAGTCAATACGCAATTGGCGTACGAGTCAAAGGTGCCCTCATCAAGTCACGGGCTCTAGGGTGGATTGAACAAGTATGGATCAAGTATCCTTATTAGCAACCTCGCTATGGTCTCCCTAATAGGTTTCATACGTGTCTACTACTAAATGTTAACTGGAAGCTCCCTCAATGGCACCTAATAGGCTCTATATTCTATGTCATTCCAGGCTCTAAATAGTACAAGACAGACTCTCAATTAAGCATAATTAAAACTCTCTCAGTAGTACCCTCTAATGTGTCAAAGCTCTAAATGAGTGATGTTGCATTTCTCTATACTAGACAAACCTTCATTAGTCGAGATAAGTTCACAATCAGGTGTTGTGTTCTAACTGTCCCTATATAGTACTAGTCAATTCATACCATTATAAACGATTCTAAATGTGGCTCAAGAACCAAAGCAGAGCAAAACATAGGCTAAGGCTCACTAAAGAGGCGTACAATACTCTAGGACACAACATTATAATCCAATCAAGCAATCATGGGCATAACGGGGTATTCCAACCTCCTAACATGCTTTCTCCTAATAACATGCATGTACCTGATAGATTTGTTCGTACTTTGCTAGAATCCCAACAAATCATTCAAAACAATCCTAATCAAATTCAAAGTAGCATAAATCTTAAGGGCATAAGAGCTAAAATGAGATCTTTAATTTCTTGCTTTAATCAAGATATAACATGCTCATAGTCATTTTACCTCTTGGGGCGTGTTTGGCAGCTTGATTCCGGAACTTTTCAAACTCTAAATTTCTTGAAATATGTTGGAGAGGTCCTAAAATGGGTCAAGGATCATAAATAACAATAAATTCCTAAAATTCAACCCTAGTTTATGAAAGAGTTAATCTGGTTACTTAAGTTCAAGCATACTCCAAACCTTGTCTAGCATGCCTCAAAGCTCAAATCTTGTTTCAAAGCTATCATGTGTCAAGATTTGGTATTGGACTTGACATGGCTCCAAATCCTCCCTTGTTGAGAAACTATTGTATATGAGTCTTATTCTTATCTTGCAAGTTCACCATCTCATAGGAATTGTCATGGAGCCTAAGTTCAATCATAGACCCTATTTAGTTCCTTCACCCACACAAGCTCTAGAAGTAGTACTTGTCACATAAAAGATCATCTCACCCTTTATAATGAGTTCTTCGTGGGAGTGGGTTGAACACTTTCTAAGAAGGAATTAGGAGGTAAAAACAAACAAGAAAGAAGACCACGGTCGAAGCTGGAAGGTACAGATCTTGAGTTTTTGTGAGCTTCAAATGTTAATATCTACTTAACGATGCTCGTCTCTATGGATTCAGCATGAGGAGCTCTACAAGATCAATGATGGTTACAAAAACAATCAGAGCCTATGGGAGAAGAACCGATGAGAGAAAGAATGAGTTGGGCAAGGGTAAGCAGTTGTGAAGATGGATTGGTTCGAGTGAATCGGTCCAAACCGATTCACTTGAACCGAACCTGATCTGCTTCATTAGAGTTTTAAAAAGTCAGGTGGTGAACATAAAATTTTGGAATAAATTGAAGTGAGGACAGGGACAAAAAAAGACATGTCCATCTCTGCTTCACTCATTAACATTCCTTGGCCTACCCCTCCACTCATTAATCAGTTTAGTTTTCTAGATTTTGTTGAATAAATAAATAAATTAAACATTTGTTTTTATAAATTAATTTGGGTCAGAATGTGACCCACTTGCACAAGGTTTCCATATAACAATACATCCTAGGTTGTCCTTGTTCCTTGACGAGAATTTGCACATTAAGGTGGAGAATTTGCAACAAGCTTAGCAATTATTAAAGGTGGAGAATTTTATCAATGCAAATAAACAAAACTATACGAGACTTCAGAGATGCCAAAAAATAAAAATTAGAATTTGCACTCAGCTAAATAGGTAGAACCTTGGAGGAAAAATCACAGTTAGAACTGTGGTAAGGTATACCATACTGCAGCTAAGAAACCACTTCATATTGGAGGAATTTTGACCAATGAACTGTAAGAACTAAATAAGAGAACATTAGCAATCATGGGATGAGCTTAAAATACCTTATTTGCCTCCCTTGTCTCCCTTGCTACTACAGTTTTATTTTATAGAAAGGCAGAACTGCAGTTTCCGACACCAACGAAAACGACATGAAAATCGAATGCCCAAGATCATAGAATTTCTGGGTGCTCAAAACTATGAAACACCAACAATATATGCATTCCAAGAATCCTTTTGTTGAAAAGTTTCGACCTCCTCATATTTCACTTCACTTCCTGCGCCAAACCCCTCTATACTTCTAATCTCTTCGGTGTCCGGCATCTGCCGAATCCAAATGTGGATGGATCTGAATCCAGCCTCTTCCAAGCAGTCTTTGATCTCTGGTAAAGACCACCTGTTCATATGTACAAAGATCATCTCAAAATTTTGGCCACTAGAAATGGTAT